ATATAATCCCGCAGCACGATATACCTCCCTGGGAGTGCCAATTATCTGGTGCCAGCTTAGGCATTTCAGAGGGCTCGTTTTTTCCAGCCTTAATGATGTCGAACCCTTCTTGCACTCGGCTGGCCTCTGAATGAAGGACCTGTTAACAGCCACTCTATGCTGCAGAACCAGCAGTCGTTATCAATCTTTGTCGCGTTGCAAGATTCCGGTCTAATCTCCCTATCAATACACGCATGAGACCGGGCAATTGAAAATTAAAGCTTCGTGGTTCTCTGGTTGGTTTTATCTCCCCCGCATAAACTATGCTCGCAATATATGCTTCAAATCATGTGAATAAGAACTGATTTTTGTAGATTCCTACGTGTGTTGTATCCGAAATCTCATATCCCCCCATCACCAACATATGCTGACAAGTGACAAGCGTGGTTAAATATGGTCAAACAAACCCTACGATCGACATGGTATGGAGGGAGGCCTTCCGGCAAGCAGTGGATTGACAGAGATGATCATTTAAATTTCGTTTTACGTTGTGATGGGTTCATCATGAGGGTCCTGCAGCTTTTCGGGGCTAATACATTCACCAAAAAAGAAACAATTATTTAATAGAATCACTACCTGAACAAAGGTACATCACTGAATCGCCCCAAGAGAGGAGGCGGTGTGGTGTTTAATCACTCCTCCCCCCTACTTGATAGGCTGCCAGGTGATTCTATAGGTGTGACAGTTTTACACCAGCAGGTTGACGTTAGCCTGCGAGCGAAAAACATCGTTGTCAGGGTGTTAGTCTGAAAACACAAGGGGCGCATTGGCCTTGTCGTTTTCAGACAACGATGTCGCCAGCTACCTTTTCAACAAAAGTGTCTCTTTAAAAAAGAAAATTCTGGAAATCTGCAAAAACCGTTAATGTTTTCATCCATAAAGCTTCCTCAGTGCTCTTCTACCCCATATGTTCTGCATTGTTAAAGACGCCCACTTCTACATTAACTGACAAAGGGGAAAAATGTGCATCATTATGCGACTCGGGACCCACAGTCACACCGACTTACCAAGGGATCATGGCCCACAAAATAACGGGCCACCGCCATTCAATAACTCAGTAATCTTTACCTTAATTATAATTTTGGCTCGCATGACTTCAACAGCAGAATAAATTATCCTGCTACCACTGGGTGAAGGCCTCAAACTCGCACGACTCTATATTATGAACACTCGTCATCTCAGCAGGCTTATATGAATACCAGGTTTATAACGATTAACTGATTCATCAAATAAAAGCGATTCAGCCACTCATAACACACGTGTTGAATTGTGCGTGAGAATCAATAATTTGCAATGAATGCAAAAATGACTCTACTCAAATTATTAAGTAGCAAATTAAACCGTACTAAATGTGACAATGAAATTTAAATAATGTAAGAGGCGGTACATAACAAGACAAAAACTACAAATCATAAATCTGCTGGTGGGGGGGGAGTCAATTGTTTACATGTCTGTTGAATATTAAAGATGCAGAATCTATGAAGCCATTCAAAATGATTAATACAACTGCTGTAGCCATTACTGCCTGCTTCAGTAGTTGATTGAAATAGATATAGCAACTTAAGAGCATTGACTCAAATGAACATCGGTAGATGAAAAATATCTGTTATCTTTTAGCCAAGAAAATACCCTCGGCATCAATGCTTGACGACTAAATCTGCTCCTGAACATGTAGGCAACTTGACATCTAATTATGACACACAATATGCATGTATTCACACAATGACTTACCTTTATCATATCAAACATCGTTGTGTATCAATGTCAGTTGGACTTTTTCCAAGATAAAGCAATGCATGTTCTGTACGTACAAGTTTTGTTCTGTCATTACATTCGAGGGGAATAACACGTAGCATGCAACTTTCATGGTTTTCTTTAAAATTATTTAGGTGATATTTGTATTTATTTAAGTAACTGGTTTGAGCTTAAAGCAGAGTTCCATTCTAAATTGTAAGAAAAAAAATGATTATTTCTAATTGACATGAATTATTACAAGTGCTGTACATGTGTTTTTTTTTAAATACTGTATTATAAAAACAAATGTGTTCAATTCAAATGGTGTTGCGTCCCCCTTAGAATTTCTGATTTCACCACAGATTACAGCATACTATGCACGAGTTGCACCGTAGCACACAGGTAACAGGAGCTCCCCACAATTGTCATTGTATTCAGGTCAATGTAAACCAAAGGCAACAATTAACCACGTGAAATGCAGTCTTATTTCGCTCGTAACTTCTTCCCTTCGTTCACATATTTATTGATGTCGCGAGGATACCAATGCACAATTAATGTTCTACGGCAAATTTAGTTTTTTTTTTTATAACAAGGATGCATTCAGTTTAACACGTATTATGAAGGATGTATTCGTAAACAACTTGTGAAAAAAGAACACTACTGGACATCTGTGAAAAAGATACATAAAGCTCATCGGATTCCTCCAGTATTAATACAGATTCTGAACTTGGCAGACCCCAATTTTAATCAAACGGAACACAAACGGCTTATGTTAGCTTGTATCGAGCAAATAAACTAATCCAGGCTATTGGGAAGGCTCACATTATACACTCGGCAACATTTAAACCTGACACTTAAAACTCAAAAACACAAAAACATTGAGTAGGCTTAAGCTTCTGGTGTCATCCATTCACAATCTTCGCCAGAAAACTCGGCGTGGCAGTCTTGCGCGTGACGTCACACACGATCTTGCCACGTCACACAGCAGCTTTCTTAATGAGCCCATTACAAAGCCGAGCTGTTCACAGCACCCTTTAATTTTCATGAATGCTTCTTTTCAAGCCGAGTGTTGCTGCTGGCAGAATTGGACATGCCACATGCCAGTCTAATGACCTGCAGAGAGAGCTTGTTCGTATGGAGCCATTATGCGGGCAGCAATCGGCACTTCTGATTACATCACCAGCCACTCAAGCAAACGGCTTTGCCATTGATGCCGCATGCTGAACCAAACAACTTAACTGGAATAAAATCTTCTTTCAAATGACATAACCGAGATAATAACTTCCCAGAGCACACGCAATGGGCTTATAATGAGAAGTGCATATCGTCAAATATATCACGCTGTGATATGTATCATTAACAGCAGATTATTGCGAGATTAACATAACTCCCTTTACATGTTAAATTGTTAATTAAACTAGAAGAGGCACAGTAATTGTAATTGTTCCTACATCCTGATATTGAAAGGACATCAGGACTGTGAAATACAAGTGGCAGTGAAGTGCTGCATGTTGGAGGGTCCAGCTGTGATTGTGCAGTGTTAGGTGTGGCCATTTGATTTCATTTCAAGATAAGACCACAATCCTGGAAGTTGCATTAATTTGATTAGCCACATTTGACTTGGGCAATCAGGAAAATCTGAGCTGACACGTTGGAATAATCGGACTTAATCTCTGGAAACACCATCCTGCTCGCACATAATTCTTTCCACCAGTCCTAATGAAAAAGCTCCCAATACACCAATATAGTGCATGTCGCTGATGATGCAGCAGACTGTATATTGTATATTGAAATCGCAAACACAATTACTGCGAGCTGAATACTTTATGCTTAAATGTAATCCTGGATGCATCACCTTAATACACTAGTCTGTCCCATGGAGATATATGCGATAATTAAATCGCACAAATTTTCATGCTACGCTTCACCGCCAATAAAATACAGTATGGCCATTGGTCAGACGTGTCCAAATATAGGCAATCATGAAGAACATTTCGCACCTCGTAGCACTAATCAACATTTGCATCACAGAATATGTAATAAGTGTGCAATCTTTGTTCACCCAATGTTAGATGTATATCTCCCCCCATGCCGTGCCAGTCATTGTTGGTTAAAGGAGTGGGGGGGGACTGGACTAGATCAGATACCACTCCCCACTGATGTTAGCCGTGACCAAGAATCAAACTCGCGTCCCACAAGTCCTTCCAAGGTATACATTTCACAGCATGTACTCACAGGCTCTAGGGATATGTCGTACACTCATTGAACGTCGTACATTATTGTTCAAACATGAAAGATTGACACCATTAAAGCACTGTACAATATTAAGGGGGGCTGGTGGAGGATTTTGAGCTTAGTTGGTGTATTTTTTTGGAGAAAAAAGTGCCTGGGTTTTGGGCAGAGGAACTCCTCTGGCAGTGGAGTATCATTAAGTTTAGTGGAGGGATGTTAAGAGGTTGATGACATTACTGGCTGAATAATTCTACTTACTTGGGCCAGTGTGCTAAAAAGATAGTAATATGTAATAGTATTGATTACTCGTAACGAATAGCAGGTTTCGTATGCAGTCAGTCAGCTTTTTAGTGTAACACTGAACCGGAGACAAATGACTTGGTTCACGGATTATGGATATTTGAAAATGTTTACCACAATAGTTAAAGCAATCCAATCAACCTCTGCATCACAATTTTTCAGAGCCCAAATTTAAAAAAAAAATTGCTTCAAATTTGTTTTTGTTTCACCAAATTTGTGCCAAATTTGAGCTTGCCAGACCTTATAGAGCATCATCATGGTCTGCTTAACTCGGTCATGGTTGTCCGTGTTAAACGAGCCGTTATCAGATGTTTTCTATGTGAAATGTATAATGGTAATGGTTGGAATAGCTGGTAAATTCAGTGGAAAACTTCAGACGTTACAGTATTAACATGGATTTCAAAAGGCGGAAGACAATAGGGGGACCGTGTGTTGGCGATCATTCACAGACAATAAACAAGACCATGGGTACACAGTCTGCAATCAACAATACAATGTATGCATACACACACAACAAACCGCCGTTTTCCACTAATAGGCGGGTGCCTGGCTAGGTGCACCTCGAGCCCGCGTCAAGTGTTGAAGTCTCGCAGACAGGCGGGTCTTGGAGCGACTGGTCCTTGGCCGTTTATGGGTTGACCGACTTAAGACCGAGTCAACACATACGTGGACACGCACGGCTCAACTCCGCTCACCTTGTTGACAGCAGAGGCGGCGGCGGCACTGCTCCTGCTGAGCGTCTGGACAGGCAGTGCCCCATTGCTGGACGGTGGACCCGCCAACGTGGCTGCTGCTGCCAAACGGGCCGCCCTGTTCACCCGGACCGGCACCGGAACAGCAGCAGCAGCAGCAACCCCGGGCTGACCCGGCTGGATGTGGGGGCCGTGACCTCCGCGCGTGATCCCGTCGAGGAGACGAAGCAGGAGGATGTTGGAGGGAAGATCGTCTACGGCGGAGCGCACCAGGGTGCGACACTCGGGACACCGAAGCTCGCCCTGCCGGGACGAGACGATGCTCTGCAGGCACCGCTTGCAGAACGTGTGCTGACAGGGCAGCACCTTGGCGGTGGAATCGAGTCGCTCCAGACACACTGGGCACTCCAGAAGGTCCAGCAGAGAGGACTCGTCCATGGCTGCGCTTTCGTAGGCGTCGCCGCGTGGTGCAAACTGCGCGCCCGTGAATATTTGGCTGAGAATTCGCTTATTGTCCTTCTCGTGCCGCGGCGGCAAAAGTCACGGCGAGGTCAACTCCGTCCATGACGTTCTTCCCTTTTCTTTCTTTGTGGAAGTGTCTCCCACAACCCCCCCCAACCCGACACACACACACTCTGGGCGCCGTGGCAGACTCACGGAATCGCTCGCTCGCCCATCGCTCCGACGACGACAAAAAGGGGCCTCCTCCTCTTCCTCCCCTCCTCTCCCGTGTGTGGTACACACGAGCGGGCTTACACAACTAAACCCCGGGCAGCTCGGATGAGGGTGGTTGGAGAACGCCACCTCAATGTCAGACCCATTCTCTCTCCGGTGAGCTCAAATGCACAAAGCCAGCACCCCCCACACCAACAACAACACCACCACCACCAAAATCTCCAGGAGACGAACAACGATCGGCTCTGTTGGTGGCAACACTCTTGTTGATCGAGAAATGTGTTACAATGAATTCACGTTCTTCGTTCACGACGACGGCATACGAATCGGAATTGAACCTATCCACGCGTCAATTCCTACATACATCGTGGAGTGGGTGGGGGGTTCCAATTGTCGCAAAACTGTTACATCAATTGCCTCTTTTGTATCGACATGCAATCTGTGTTACTCGGCCGCGGAAGCGGGAGAGCTTGCTACTTCGTCGATTCAAAGAGTTCTGCGACACCGAAGGAAGGAAGGGCTTTAAACGACGGCCAAAGCCGTGGCACAGCGAGAGAATTCCTCTGGTAGCTCCCCCCCCTCTCCTCGTTTAAACGCAAAACAAAAATCGACAACAAGAACAAATCAAGTGAATAAACGAGACAAAGTTGTGCCGGAGGCCGCGGAAGCGTCGCCGGTTACCAAAACCACGTTAATCTTCCGGCAGTAGCAGCAAGAGCAGCAGTAGAGACGGCGACCATCAATCGATAAGAGCTTCAAGACGTGCGTAGCCTCGGCTGCATGGCGACTGCACAGCTGACGATCCGGAGCAGGCGTTGGAGGAGGAGGAAGACGACGATGGTGGTTGATGATGATGATGGTTGATGAGAATTCTCTCCCTGCTCGCCGCGGCTGATCGGAGTGCGAAGAACGTAGACAATGGGGGTGGTGGTGGAGGAGGAGGGAGTGGGGTTCGGTTGGTTTGGTGGTAGCGGCGGCGGCGGTGAGAAGTGGAGCGGGGGGCGGGGAGAGACGGCTTTTTTTATTGATTCTTTTACACGGCGTGTACGTGGAGGCCACAGGGGTTGCTTCTCTACTCCGCGACGGACGAGCGCAGAACGACAACCTCTTCCATGAGCCCTAAGGCCAATCCCCCTTCCTCGGGCTGCCTGCCCGGGGCTTTCTCCGCCCGCACGGGGGCGTGTTGATGGGTGGCCTCCGTAGGAGGCTGGCTTTTGAACACGTACTGTATTGGTGGTGGGTGGCTTGGTGGTGGGTGGGGCTCTCTGGTGGTGGGTGGATTGAGGTTGGTGGCTTTTCTGGGTTACCGCACGTGCCCCTTACCTACAACTGTGTGTTCTCTCATTGAGATTTTTTGAAAAGTTCCCCCGTCGGTGGGGGGAAGGGGTTACCTGCATAAAGCGAGTCGATGTTTGACCGGGAAGAGGCTGGAGATGTGAATACGCACGCTGTGTGGTTTGTCTCTCTGTTCGGCCGTGGGTTTATTTTATTTTGGGGAAAGGTTGAAACTCGCATTTTGTGTCCGCCCTGGTTTAAAGCATGCCTGTGTCATTTTAGTGTTTTTTTTGGCACCCACCCGTAGACTCGCGGCCGTGTTTTTTTGAGAGCAGAGGGCTCCTCCAAGTGGTCGAATGGGAGGCTTGCAAGGAATTGAAGCCGAACATGAAACGCAGATCGAATTCCAATATATTGTGTAAACAAACATGTGTTCTTGTATCTATTGTGGAGAGACAGATATGTGACGGATACGTATTGTTTGCCTGTCTGTTGAATTTTAAACTCACTGGTCTGGACAATGAAGCTTGGTTTCTCACTTGGATGTGGACATACCTGGACTGCAGTTACATATTCAGGGATACATACTTTGAAAAAAAACAATACCTGCCCTTAAAGTGAAACAAAAATATGGCATCGTAAATAGCGAACGTGGTAAGTATTTGTTTTCTGTGCTTGTGCACCACTGCCATTTGTTTAATTTGAACAATTAAAACAGAGATGTTGGCCTTTGTGAACTTGCAATGGCTTGTAAGTTACAGTCGTGTGACTCACGTTTTAAAAATGGGATTCCCGTATTTTTGCTACCAGTGCTCCAGACCAGACTTCATTCCTGACCTAGTCATCACTCACTGCTCGTGATTTATTGGAAAAATCTGAACAGTTGTGACATTGTCTACAGGTCTATTTAAGCCCCTTGAAATACTGTATGTGCTTTCCATTTGTCCACACCTTACTTTATAGTGCTTGATTTCAGAATGGAAATACTCCGTAATGTTCAAACATTTTACAGCAAAATGTTGTGGAGATAAGTACATTTATTGAAGTAACAACGTTTAATCATTTTACACGATACATTGCTTTAACATTGTATATATTTACATTTTCGAACAGGGTTAAATAAAATATAAAATGTTTACTTTAATTTTCATCACCATATTGATGATTCCTTATTCTTTTGCAGGTCACCGTATTTATTTTTTTATATCTTTCAGTGCCATGCTTTTGTTTGTGATTTCAGAAAACGTGATTGTGTTTGCTTTTTTTATTTTACCCCCAATCGTTAGTGCACTGTCTGTTATAATGCTAGTTCATTATGTATTTTGGTGACGTCTTATTCATAATTTTCCGTGTAGGGATTTTAATGTTGTTTAGAATCATTTAAAGTAATGCCATGTCCTGAACCACAGTGTTGTGTTAACTGTGTTGTTTTTTTGCAGACGAGGTAAACACAGCAGGCTTTGTACTATTTATATCTCAGGTAATCAATGTAAGTTGGATTGAGATCAAAGCAATACAATAAAGAGATGAATAATAGCAGGCTGGAGGGCTTTTGGAAAGCTTCATTTGAGAATGAAAAACATCACATCACTGTGCCAGATGAGTAACGTTTTCTATTAGTGCATATTGCCAGCTGTGATGGATGGATCAGAAACTTGGACACTAACAAAATAGAAAAACAGCTGAAAGCTGCACAAAGAAATGCGGAAAGATTAATACTGTGCTTTGAATTACACTGAAAGACAAAAAGGAGAGCACCTGAATATGAAATGCAGGCATTTTGGCGTCATCTGGTCGAACACCATATGAGACTAGGCTCTAAGTAAAAGCTGTCTCTGGTGTGGACCAATCAATTCCAAGGACAATGTATACATTATCAGAGTGTGTTTTTTGTTTGCATTCTGACCGCAGGTATTGTGGTTAATGTAAACATGATTCCTTGTAAAAAAGGTTTCAGTTTTGTTGCCAGAAAAAAGGGGGGGGGGGGAAAACCTATTATCATCTTAACTGTTAAGGATAGTAAGTAGCCACATTGGGTTTTTGCAGCCACCTGTAATCCAAGTGTGATCTTCTGGGTAAGGCCGGCCGTGTGTTGGACATTTGTTTTCTCAACATTTTACCATGCACTACGTAAGGCACATTCACTAGTGCGTGCAGGAATTTTGAGAAAGGATACATTCAAAACGGGGCATTATCCTGTTCAACCGCACTTGGAAAGTAAGGGTGTTTGGTTGGGCTGGACACATTGCAAGAAAGGATGATCCCCGATGGCCAAGTCTGGTTGGTGGAATGGCAGCCAAAAAAGAAAATTCACTCGAGAGGATGATCACACTAACATGGAGCCACGCACACACAGCGACTAACATAAACGCACATGGACTGACAGTTATTGTGCAGGGTGAGATTTATTGTGGCATGGCAGAACGAGAGGGGTATGGCAACAGCATGGTCCACAATTGAAATATGGGTGCCTGCAAATGCCAGCAATTGGGTAAAACAAAAACATCGGCTCCTACTGGTAGACATCTGTGTGTTAATCACAGCGCCTTTGTGAGAGCATTGCACCATGAGATAGTGTGCATACCAAATGTACTAAATTATTATCGTTGTTTTTAGGAAAAAAATATACAGTATTAGCATTTTAGTTGCATTTTTTTGCGTACCGAGAAGACCTTAGGAGGCCATTGCGACCACAAATATTTGTTTCCAAGGGGGACTTACTTAGGTTTAAATGGCACTAACGTTTCTGTACAGGGTTACATGGTGGGCAATCGAGAGTGCAATGCAGAAAAAATACATGGTCGTACGGTATGCCAATGTTTCCACATCTATGCCTCCCAGTGCCTTCAGTAACCCACACTTATACCTGCCAACCCCTTAACAGTGCCCTACCTTATTACGGCCCAATTCAGGCCTCATTGGTCACCCCGTGCCCTGATACATCTTAACGTTCATCCTACAAAGTTCCATCACAAGGGAGAAACACAAAGGAATAGACAAAAAAATATTGTCCGTATTGAAAACTCAATTTTACTGGTAGGAACCTCCTGGTTACACCAGCCCACAGGGGATTATTGTGTCCGTCCGTCCGTCGTGCATCCAAAAATGGGAGGGGTGGGGCTGGGTGGAGAGGGGAGGGTGGGGAGGGGCTGGGGAAGGTGGGGAGGGGAGGGTGGGGAGGGACTGGGTGGGGAGGGTGGGGAGGGGCTGGGTGGGGAGGGTGGGGCTGGGTGGGGGGTGGGAGGGGTGGGGCTGGGTGGGGAGGGGCTGGTCACCCCGTGGTGCCCTTATAAAACTCAACGTGTAACCTACTCACACCGGCTTGTGCCCGCCCTCACAGTCGGGCATATTTGCGGAACACACCACGTGGTGCCGCATGTTGACCCTGGCCATTGACCGAGCAACCCAACGTTCCTACCAGCTCCCTCCGCAGGAATGTGTTCCTGTACAAGAATACGGGTAAACCGTATGGGTTGACAGGTAAGCTCACTGGCCAGCATGATGCAGCATGGTCCAAGAGCCTCTATGCCCCTCACAGAGGCCCGATTCTAGCAGTGGACTCAAAAAGGGCTGTAAAGTTATAATTGAAGGCAATAATGAAGCGGCATGGTGACTTAATCATTAAATGCTTGCAAAAGCATGTAGGGGGAAAAGGTGAACTAATTGGTCCTATGTTCGTAAAAAAGGTATGTGCGTACAGGTGACAATGATGAATAATGCCCCTGAAGTAAACATGCCCTGATTGCTCAATTATAACCTACATACACAGCCTTTAACAGACTGTTGGAGCGAGTTACTTCATGATTATGGTACACAAGCACAACAAAAAAACGAAGACCTTCGTCAATAATGCTGCTTTCAACAAAACTACTTTGACAATAAAGACGAACTTGTTACATTGACCGAAGAAGGGCCATTTGCCCAAGACGTGGCCTATTATAGGGGCCATCCATTTAGTAGGCACGCGAAAATCTGTCAAAAGTTGACCTCTCCCTGTACGCACGCGGACTTTTTACCCCCCCCCCCCCCCACCTGTGAATCCTATAGAACAGCCGATATTTAATCCACGCAGAAACGATCAAGGCATAATAATATTAATGTGTTTAAGCAAACAGATAGTTCACCGCCGGACTATCTAACTCATTTGAAGGTCAATGTAGACAATATTATCGAGGCTTCACACACCCCCATCCCCGTTTCCTATGCGTACATTGTCAGTAGACATGCGTACGTACTAAATGGATGGCCCCTTACTGATTTTGTGTTTAAGGCAACCCTATTGACGAATGTGAGTATTTTTGTTGGAACAAGTGCAGCTTGCGACAACCTATTATTATTATTAATGCCGTGATGAAGCATGATGTGGTCTACCTGCTATATACACATTGCCAGCTAGCTAGCACGCCCTAAGCCCCGCGGTGGGAATAGGCTATTCCTTTTTGACGTCCGTCACCTTTAAATTAGTAAAATTAGCTATTTTGTGGGATTTCGATTTAATTACTGCGCGCCACCGACCGTACCAACTCACACCAATTGGGTGGGGGGGGGGGTGGCGGACCCTACCAAGTGATGCGCGTTCGGTCGAGCTCCCTGTACTGCCAGACTTTCATGTCGACTGTATCCTGCTTTTTCAGCTGCTGTCCGTATTGCCAGCTTTTTATGTCCACTGTAGCAATGCTTATGTCATTGAGTCGGCGTACTGCCAGTCTATAATCTAGACTGTAGCCTGCTTCTCAACTTACCTGTGCGTGCTGCTGCTATTTAATGTACACTTATTTTATGATTATTTCTTCTATGCATTTCTATTGTTTCGATTGCTCACGTCCCGCAATTTATTCATACGTAGTACTACGATGCTCATAGCTGTGCCATCATCGGGGATTGCTGTGCACGTCGATGTGTGTGTGTCAGTCGATGTGTGTGTTTGAGTCCATATGTGTGTGCGTGTAGGTCCATGCGTCTGTGTGTAACTGTCTTTTT